GCAACTTAAAATCGCCGCTTATTTTAATTTCTCCTAGTAGAAAATGAAATTTTAATTTCAACTGGTAGAATTTTAAATTCTACTGAATTTTAATTTCTACTGCAACATATACATAGCATTATTGGAAAAAAAGAACATGTGAATTTCGCTAAAGTAATAATCAGAGACAATAAGCAATTGAAGCAGCAGCTTCATAGTAGTCGACATTAGATATTTAAAGTAAAGACAATAAAAAACTGTTAACATTCAAACAAATTTAATCCAAATGTATTATAAACAACTCATTGAAAATGTGTTAAAAATTCAAGTAGAAGTGAGCAGACTGTTTTTATCAAACTACTCTCGAAACTTGGCAAGAAATTAGTGAAATTAACTTTTATAGAAAACTCTCAAAGGAAAAATGAAAATCTTTTTCCATTTTCTCTCCTATCCATGAAAAAAAATGTATAAAATGGACGTGAACATCTTCCCATGCAACACGTTTCAAGTGAGACCAGTTACTCTACCAGCTTTTCATGCCTTCGAATATTTCCCGTACTTACTCCAAAATTTGAGTATGATGAAATTAGAATACTCTGATGTTCCCTTATCGAGATATTGAACATTAAAATTGACTGCTCCTCCTCGGACCTTCGAAAAGATTTCATTTTAAAGGAAATTCATTTCTCTGTCCAGGTGAATGTCTTTTAGAAAGTTTTGGGCAGAAAAAGTTTTCTAGAAATCTGGTTTTCCAAAGAACCCGCCTTTAAAGACCTTGAAAGTGATTCCACGGGTTCTACGATATTTGTTATCTACTAAGCTTCGTTTCCGTTGATTATCGATAAAAACTGAGAAAGACTTGGCCCTTATTCGACAAAACTGTCTAATTTTCAGTAAAAATGAAATATTTCAACAACGAAACAAAATTTTAAAAAAGTGATCCATACGTGTATAGCTTGGTTTTTTGACGGTTCTAATGAGATGAGAACGCTGGCTTCATGTTCTATGTCGAAAAACTAGATAGGTTTACAAAATGGGCCAGGTGCACCTTGGGATCCCGTTCCTGATTAACCACTGCTGAAGTCATTTTTTGTCCCAAAAATCTGAAACTTCCTAGATGCTGAACCAGTTGCTGAAATAGTTTCAAAAGTTTGTACAACAACGGAGCAGAGAAATTGAAATTTTTTGAAAACTGAACGATCTTTCGAAATTTTAAGCCCCTCGATTTTTTTTAACTTTTCCCTCTCAAAAAACCTTTCTTAAAACTTAAAATGCACAATTTTGTTGACCTGCTCAACGTGGTCCCTCCAATCGTGTATAAAGGCGTGATAAATAAAAACCTGCTGTAACTTTGAATTACCGCCATCTTACATGTAAGCATGACGTACATATCAGGAAAAATAAAATACATTTTACAATCATTTTTTCCGTTACAGAAAAGCTCAGGCGTTGAAAATTTGAATAAGCCATTCTTACGTGCACAGTCCTCGAGACTACCTTTTCCTCAATATAGTTGAGAATATACATGGTGTTCCGATCGTCAGCGATGATCACCCTTCCACTTGCTTATTGTCGTTCTGACGTTTCACAAGTTCAGTGCAAAATTCTTCATGAGTCATGTGAATTTAGTGTGGTTTGAGGAAGAAATGATTTTATTTTTTAAACTATCCTTTTGATAAGCTGATTCGTAAACCGCAGCTCTTCCAAAGATTTGTAAGATACACTAACTGGAAATCCGAGAATTTTTAGTTCTATCATATAACAACATGCAGTAAATTATACACTGTTGAATGGTGAAAACCGCAAGTTTCCAGCTTTTTTTGACGTACAGCTTATTTACGTACAATCAAAGTTTTCTAAGTGCAAGTTATCCACTTATCTCGATGTGTTCTGAAGCTGAAAATATTGAATACACCAAAGAGAAAAGTTCTTCATCTTGCTATGTATGAGCTATATTGTTTGAAAATTCAACTTTTAGATATTCTTTGATCTCAAAAGTACATTTAGATCTTGGTTATTGAAAAGCAAAAGCCGCAGCTCCTCTCTTTCGCTTTCGTTAAAAAGTCAGTCAAAGATTTTTTAATTTGAAAAGATCATTTAGCACAGCTCTGATACTGCTTCACGATGAGAGAAATAAATATAATTATTTAGTCACAATACTTTCGATTTCACATACCATGTGCTCGTATTGGTTTACATATAACTGGATACTGTATATTATGATTTGTTAATAATTGTTGAATGTTTTTATGAGCTATTGATTCATCAGTAATACTAATAAATGGTGGTACGTACAAATCTTCAATTTCATTTAATAATGTATATTGTATTTGTCTATTTAGTAGTTTTGTTACTGATTCAAGATTATCGATCATTAATATTGTCGATTCATTCCTTTTAATTAAATTTCGAAATTTTTCTAAAAATAGATGAACTGTTTTATCATCATCAACTAGCTCACGACTTAACATATCGGTTAATTTATGTATAATTATATTCGGTAACGGTGATGACAATTGGTGTTGTTGTTGTTGTTGACTGACTGTGTTTAAATATTCATCATTAATCTCAAGTGTTTTTATATTTGCTTTCTTACATAAAATTAAAAATTGTTCAAAATTTAGTGACAAAAATTTCTCATGTGAAAAGCAATAACCGATTATGGGTGACTCCATTAAACCTTTTTCATTGAATAAAAAGCATGGTAACTGGATTTTTTGTTTCGTTTCTATATCTTTATTTTCTCTCTTTTCTATTGTATCAATACAAAGACAAGAAAACAGATATGAAGTAATGGTATAAAGAAGGTTATAAAGGCTTAAATCTGAGTATCGGGCATTTTGTTTCAAGTCAGTTCCTTCTGGATGATTTGTTGTCAAAACTTTTGTCTCTAAGCAATGTGGACTATAGACAATTCATCTCTTATGGAATGTCCTGTAAGGACATTCTTAGAAACACTGAATATACTAGGAGTGTAAAAGATGAACACCAGTGTACAGTCCTTCACACATTCATCACAAAATTAAAGTAGAATTACATTTGGAATAACAGAGCCGTTAATCTTATTTTAAGCAGAATCTATCATTTTACAACTATCACTAAAAAGCATGTATTACCGTTTTCCACTACTATTTTCCACAATATGGAAAATGGTATTATGCATCTATCCAACAGTAAAGACGAATTGTCCGAGACAAACTGTTGATGACGAAAAATGCGCACTTTAGAAAGTTCTTTTTTGATCGAACGTCTAGAGTAGGCATGGAACAGTTTCGGATAACCGATAACTGATATAACTGATAACCGGATCATCGCGTGTACCAGTCGTGTTTGCAAGAATAGTAATTCTTTTGCTCTCACCATTTAACATATTTCTAGTAAAAAATGGTAAAAATCTTATCTTTCAAGAAATTTTTTTCTTGAATTTGCATGAAAACTGTTAGGTCCAAAAATGTACAGTGTATAATTCTGAATATCTTTCCTTCACGATGAACATTTGTTGTTTGAACAACAGATATTCCCTTCATTCTGCTTCAAACGTATTTTCAAGATTCAGCCTTCTGTCGAACGCTTTACGCTACTGTAGAGATCAGATTAAGATCAGCACGTATTAGCATACTATTTTGTATGCACATAAGCTAGCATTTATATATGTACGTCTAATAAAGGGATGTGTGTGAAAATTTTCTGCCTAAATAGTATGATCATAAATAAGATAGTAAAATCCTATTATTGTGGTTAAAACTTTAACCTGAAACAACAAACATCCTCTTAAAGCACAGCAGATATATTTCGCACAAAACGTCGCTGCAAATCTTCCATCTCATAATAGAAAATTTGTTTTAGTCATTAATCGTTGTTTAAGATTATCTCTTTTCCTTATGACACAGGACAAAGAAAACCCCTATTATACGCACCAGCAATTGCTAGTAAGATAGGTCAATGGAATGTCTTTTTGATGAATACATAGTGGAACGGGACAGAGCTTTCTGACTGACTTAAGTATTAGTTAAACTGACTGTCACTGCACCATGTTCAACTAGATTATTGTATAATTACATTATTTCTAAGTAATCATATATTATTAGCACAATGTTTTATTAGATTAGAAAATGCCAGTGTTCATCATACACAGATTGAATACCACTAGTCATATTTTCGATTTCGTCAAGCACATTCTCTTTGTGCACAGGTTCGATAAGCTTAAATCAGAAACGAAAACAAGTGTGATAAATGTAAGAATAACCAATAATATAATCGTCTGTTGATAACAATTGATGTTCTGACAAACTGAATTAAATCAGTTTCACTACACATGAAGGACATTTGTTGTTATCAATAGCTTTTCCTTTCTACGCATGCAAATAATAATATTTAGTGGTTAATCGCTTTTCATCAGCAGAAAAAACACCAAAAAGCAAATCAAACGACCTGAAAATATTCTCCACTAGTCCAATTAGACGATGAAGAATTCTTCTGTCTCCTAGATTTCAATAGCTAATCAACCAGTCTTATCATGAATATATGAGTGTCTAATTTATTCTTAGAAAAATTAAATTTGAAAGTTTTATTGCATTTATCGTTGAGATAGCCAAGACATTCAAATATGCATAGCATTCCCAGCTATTCTCTACTCTCTTTCGACGTGCACTACATTAACTTTTCAATCAAAGTAAGCCACCACTGCTAATCGTATCACACTAGCACAATATACATGATAATACTTATATGATCCAAAAACGATGAGAACAATGAGAACATCCCTTCTATCGTCGATTAATTTTCTGTATCAACAAATCGAATGATAATATTTCGATCTTAGATTTTTCCCACAGATAGGTCTGTTAGTGAGTAGTATGCTCTGAAAATTTCAGCTCAAAAGAATGTTTCCTTCTCGAGATGTTAAAGTCCTAAAAACCAGTAAATTCCAGCATCTGTATATCGAGAAAGAAACATTCTTTTGAGCTGAAATTTTCAGAGCATTCTACTCGCAAATAGACCTATCTGTGGGGAAAATCTCAGGTCAAATTTCAGCTCAAAAGAATGTTTCCTTCTCGACATATTAAGAGACCTTTTCCTAGCTCATCAAGAAATCAAATCACGAGTGAAAAATTGACATATACTTTTTATTTCATATTCGGAGTCTCTTATCAAACCTGAGGCTGCGAAAAGTATGAAAAAACTTTCTGACTCATTCTGGCTGAGTTATAGAATTTACAGAATGGGTACCATTGTCGATTTGCGAACAGCCGCCATCTCTGATATTTTGTGTATAATGCCGCCATCTTTTATCTGTTCTGTGCGAGCAACATCTCATTCGAAAGCCTGATAAGAATGCACAAAGTCACATAGTTTCTAATTTTATGAAGTAGGACGTGACTACTTAAAATCCACATCATTAGGAAACAGCGTTAAAAACTGCATCAGATAATGTGCCTTTGGAATTTTTAGAAAAAAAAAAAAACTTCCATAATTTTTCGACTTTTTTATGTTCAGCTTCCGAGCAAACGTTTACAAAATTTTTCATTTCTCTAAAAGATTGCAAAGGCACATTATCTGATGCAGTTTTTGACGCTGATTCCAAATATTACCCTATTGTTTTTACGCGTAGTTTTGATGACTAAAATCCCAAAAAGCTGTTTTAAAGCTTTAGAGCTTTTGCACCACTTTCAAAATAAAACTTTTGGGCTTAGTTTATCGAAAATTGACTTCTCTATTGCATCCGACCTTCGAATTGTTAGCGAAATTCTCTTTGGAGGGTCAAAAGTACGATTTTCTCGAAATGCCAGACCCTTCAAAATCCCAATTCTCCCACTGATGTGGGTTTCAAGTTACATCCTACTTCAGAACAATTAGAAACTATGTGACTTTGTGCATTCTTATCAGGCTTTCGAATGAGATGTTCCTCGAACAGAACAGATAAAAGATGGCGGCATTATACACAAAATATCAGAGATGGCGACTGTTCGCAAAACGACAATGGTACCCATTCTGTAAATTCTATAACTCAGCCAGAATGAGTCAGAAAGTTTTTTCATACTT